TACTCAGATGACTTGAGCCCAGGAGGTTGAGGTTGCAGTAAGTGCCACTGTACTCCAGCCTGGGCAACTGAGCGAGACCCTGTCTCAAACAAAACAAAAAACAATGGCCACCCATAAATTTTGTTTAACATGCCCAAGAGGCTTATTTGGGGGTGAACATTCTGAACCTCCTCAGAGCAAGGGTGCATGGGTGTTTGGATGTGTGAAAGTTGCAGTTTGGGGCTCAGAGGGTTACACTCAGTGTATCACAGGATAGCAGGGGTGGCAGCCTCTGTCACAGTTCCTGGTCCCCAACTAAAGCTCAGGTTGCTGGTGATCTGTGGGTCACCAGGGCCCTGGGGAGAGGTGCCAGCATCCCTGGAGCCGAGCCACCTGCTGGCGACATGCCAGGCTTCTCCACCCTGCAGGGCAAGGTGAAGGAGCGGAGAGAACGTATTGTGCTGGAGTTTGAGAAGATGAACCTCTACCTGGTGGAGGAAGAGCAGAGGCTCCTCCAGGCTCTGGAGAGGGAAGAGGAGGAGACTGCCAGCAGACTCCGGGAGAGCGTGGCCTGCCTGGACCAGCAGGGTCACTCCCTGGAGCTGCTGCTGCTGCAGCTGGAGGAGCGGAGCACACATGGGCCCCTCCAGATGCTGCAGGTGAGCTGGTGGGCTTGGCAGGCATGGGGGGATGTGAGCTCTGACAGGCATGGGCAGCGGGGGCTGAGCTTGGGGAAGAGGCAGCCAACAGGAAAGGGCTGTTAGCTCCCCAGTCTCCTAGTCCTGGAGGCTGGGTGGCTGAGGCCAAGGTGTGGGCAGGCCTGGTTCCTCCTGAGCCTCTCTCCTGGACCTGAAGATGCTGTCTCCTCCCCGTGTCCTCACAGCATCATCTCTCTATGCATGTCTGTGTCCTAATCATCTCCTTCTATAAAGACACCAGTCAGACTGGATTAGAGCCCACCCCAGTGACCTCAACTCCCTCCTTAAAGATGCTATCTCCAAACACAGTCACATTCTGAGGTCCTGAGAGTTCAGGCTTCAACCTGTGAATTTGTGGGGACACAAGTCAGCCCCTTACAGGTTCCAACCTGAGACAGTGTCCCCATTTCCTTCCAAGTCCAGAGAAGTGGCTTGGACACCTAGCAGCCAGGTGCGGCTCTGGGACAGCGACTCC